TAGGCCGAGATGCTATCATCTAGGCATCCGACATCCTTGAACCTTGCACCTAGTGACCTTGTGCCGGGACTGGAATGACCTAGACCGAGGTGTGGCACAGTTGGGCCAAGTGTTATCCTTTCTAGCCGAGATCATTGAGACCTTACTTACTGAAGCCTTTGTCCTAACCCGAGATCACTACCTGCCGGAGTGCCCATGTCACCATGCTTGTTGTATACGTTTTGTCATGCTCTTATCTTGTCAGTCAGTCACCTTTTGAGGAGAGCCAACCAGCCGTTGCCACATGTCCCAGCAGAGGGTTAAGTCAACCGACAGTAGAGAAAACATATCATTTGTTGTATTTTTGTCCTAGAAGAGAGAGAAGCTCTAGGAAGAGAGGAAGAAGAGTTCTTAGAGTGAGAATAGATTTCCAAGCTTGATCTTCACACCTTGAGCCGTTGGATCCGCGTTTTGAGGTTAGAATCTTGATATGCTCTTGTTGTTCTCCATGTTCATCTAATCACATTGCATGATCTAGCATTATTCATGAGCCATGCATTGATGTAAAGCTTGTTTTAGAAAGAGAAAATGATGTTCTTGTGTTCTTGAAATAAAACCATGTTTTGATCCGAAAGTTTGTGTCAAGATCAATGTTTTCATGTTTGTTTTCATGAAACCTCAAAGTATGGGTACTCAGGTCCATGTTTTCGAACTCATCTCATGAAATCTCATATTTTGTAATAACAAGTTAAGATTTTAGCATTCATGTTCTTTATGTTCTTCATGATCATGTTCTTCATGTTCCTCGAAAGGGAAACCCAGATTTTCCCGACTTCATTTCCCTAAATGTGGTCATCGGGACCACACCTCGGCCAAGAGGTGTGGAACCTCGGCCAAGACCTGGTTGGTGCCCAGCATGTTTTCCCAAGATGAGAAACAGTGATTCAACTCCCAGCACATGTTTTGCTTTGTCTTGACTTAGTTTTGAAAGAAATGCCGAGATCATTTACACTTATGCAAAGCTTGTTTTAGGAATGCATTTCATATCCATCTTTGAGAATCTCTTCTTGTCTTCTTGAAATGTATTCAATGGGATTTATTATGTGCTTGTAGGCTTTGGATCCTTGCTTGTAATCCCCACACCCGAAGAGCTATGTGAGTGGTATTTTTAGTAAAGTTATGTTATAAAGTTTTGATAAAGCTTTGCTTTGCTTTGGAAAAGTATTTGATCAAGCATGAATGATTATCCCTAGTTTTGTATCCAGTATTATATTTGTTTTGATGACATTGTTGGAAAGTCCTTAGTGCTAGGGGACTATAATGCAACTAGTACCCTTGTTTTGAAAGTCCTTAGTGCTAGGGAACTATAATGGGGACTATAATGCAACTAATACCCTTGTTTTGAAAGTCCTTAGTGCTAGGGGACTATAATGCAACTAGCACCCTTGTTTGAGATATCTCCCTTGTCTTGCCACCGACGGTTTACCGCGTGGGTTTGTCCGGAATGTCATCCCTTATATTATATTGATGCTAGTAAGCACCCCTTAAAGCTTTGAAAGATTTGACAGATGAACTTGGTTCATCCCTTGATTTTGTACAAGATATGCTATGTATTGTTTGATAAAGATCTCGGATGTCATTCATTTAAACCTTTATTACTAATATCATTCACTGAGTACCCAAGCTCACCCTCTATATATATATATATATATATGTATGTGACGAGCAAGAAGGCGGTGACGCCTAGATGATTATTTGCAAGTTGTTTGGATTTATATTTTGTAGCATCTTGAAGATTAGGCTTCTTGGCTTGGACATTGTAGTTCGTTTTGTATATGTCGGCTTGAGAAACTTTTTCATCAAGATGTAATATGTATTTGTTTTATTTGTACTCAAGTTGTAAAACCACGTTATGTGTGACATTTCATTTGATCTCTGCACAGCTCTTGTGGACTATTTAGATCTAAATTTATTGCTTCCGCACATGTGAGCCCCATATGTATACTCTGATTGTGTGTGACTTTGTAAGTTGGCCTTTGGTAATCTCGGATTACTGGCCATCATGGCACCATTCTACTAGGGGCGGAATGGGGTCGTGACAAATAGTCTTCAATACCTAGCATGAAATGCAGTGAGCTTTGAATGCCCAGTAAACGCACACACACCCTATCCATTTTTCCCAATCGTGGCGCTGTTGGGCGGCGTCATACAGCGCGTGAATCACACGCGCCGCCTTTCCGGGTGTTTTCTGCTCCGATTTTTGTACTGTCGGACTCCATTTTTCACAATAAAAACATTTATGACATTAAAAATGACATTTAAACAACATAAAAATGAGGTATATCACTCTCTCAATCTAATGGAGTTAAAATGCAAAAAAATCGTGCACTTCATCTTCCTCCTCCATTAATGTTCATGCATATATCATGTATATATATTTATATAAAAAATATACACTTTTTAATGCAGAAAAATAAGCACGAAAATACTCATATTTATGGCTCTGATACCAATGTAAATCAAAGTATAAAAATGCAGCGGATAAAATATTTAGATCATACCTTTAGATGATAGAACCTTGTGGGTAAATCACGTGCTTCCAGAATCTGATAAACCAACCCAGCAGTGAAGTGATATTACAGAATGAATATCACCCACACAAATCACAGTGCAAATGACTTGATCGTTGTTTTTGGGTGAGAGTCAGTATATGGGTAAAACTCAGATCATACGTTGTTTCTCTCTTTTTCACCCATAACCCATATACCAGATATATAATATGTTATTATTATCTATCCATATCAGTTAATGGAGATAATATCTATATCCTGAGTGGTATTTAGGTTTGAATTCAATTTCAAAACCTATTTGGATAAGATTCAAATTCAAATACAAATGGTCATGCCACATGGGCGCCCATTACTAACAAGTATTCATAAATTCAGTAAACTGCTACTTCTTTCTTAACTTTTAGCTTATATTTTAAGAGACTTAATTTTTAAATGATATTAATCGTTGTTATCAAACGAGCTTAATTGATTTTCGCTTAATATATTCAATTTTAAGTGCTAAATTGGGTTATCAAACACACCTATATGACACACCAAAATATAACGGGGAAAAATAAGGAGAAAATAAAGAAAATTTCATCTTTACCATTATCCAAATAGAGGCCTTGAAAATGCTTAGGTCGAGGAACTTTGTTTCCTCATTTGGAACCCAATCTACAAACAGCCTATAGTATGGATAAAGTACATACATGCACTTATAGCAACCAAATAAAAGCTCTTCTTTTCATTCATTTTGCTAATCAAGTAAATTAGGGTCACAATCAACACACATGTGTGCATGTGCACGTGCAAAAAAAATTGCACAATTATCTTTTATCATTGTTCTCTTGGTAAAAGTTTGATCAACTTATTTCAAGTTAAAGAATAAAGTATAATTAGGCAAAGATTGTGTTTGTCGCCGGTTATCAGAAAAAAAAAAAAAAAAAAACAAGATTTCAATTCAACTCTGTTGTAAGAATAGACTTTCCAAATAACAATTTTCAGCTGTATGCCAATGCAAACAATTACAAATGTTTAGAAGGCATCTGTCAATCACTATAGACAAGCACTAGGTATGAAGATTTATTTTTATCTAGTAGACTAGTATGTTTGATGTACTGTTCCCATGTCCATTGGTACAGAGTACAAACTACCAACCGCTGAAACCATAACATTCTTGAAAGGGGTCTCGGTTGACAACAATCCCACACCCTACCCCATTACATTCTGCCAAAAGAGGACATGTCTCCCTGCCATACTAAGAAGTGAAAGGAGAACTTCTTGCACCATATTTTCCTTAATCATCGTTTAGGACTAAATAATACAAATTGAATATTTGAAATTTTGGATCACTTTGACAAGTTAATGATTGACGACACATCCTCTTATTAGAAGGCAAACTTCATTTTATCCCTTGTGTGGTTTATCGTCCTAATGTTTGAAAATGACCACACAATCCCTACATGAATTGTGGACTGAAGTGTCCCATTAATGCCGTGTTTGGTTGAGAGATTTGAGAAGGGATTTGTAAAGGGAAAAAGAAAGAGAAAATGTGTGTGAAACTAGGTAAAATGTAAGTATATTTTATTCATATTTCACTTACTTTTTCCTTTTCTCTTTCTAAATTCTTTTCCAAATCCCTAACCAAACATAACGTAAACAATCTGTCAAACTTAAATTTTTAAATAAAGTACAGGGGTTAAATCACACATGGAATAAAATACAAGGGGTTAAAGTATACTTTACCTTTGAAACAAATGACAACAATACAAGAGTATTTTAGTTATTTTCATTAAATCGTTAATAGACCTAACAGTGCACTTCAATTTACAAACCATAAGGGGTAATTAGGAAAATAAATTGCACATAGTCGAAACTAGAGGGGTAAAGTGAAATTTGCCCCTTACTATATGGTGCAAGTCTGACCTGACCTGAGGTTTGTCCACCCCTAATACCTATTGATCTTATCTACACTATGCCTCTCTTATTTTAGTGACAAAGTGCAAATGAAATCACTAGATAAGACATTATTGTCTTAAAAAATCAATAAATATGTCATATTTTATGACTTGATTTTATATAAATTTATAACATAATTCGAACCAAACGAGTTACTGTAATAAAATAACATTTTAAGGTAGTTAATTGTTGAGTTTTAAAGTCCAAAAAATAAAAAATAAAAAACAAATAGAACACAGTTTAAAGAAATTTATCCTAAAAAGAGGTGTTTGGGAATATAGGCTATTTTAATTAAGTTTTTAATATATTACGAAAAAATATGTATATAAATAAGAAAAGTAATATGATTGAATATTTTATCTTATTGACTATTTTAATACAAATTGCCAAACGGGCAAAATTACACTTATTTTTGTTTTCAAATTTTTTTTTCCTTTTGGGGTGAAATTATTATTATTTTTTATTATTTGATTTTTTTTTTAAGTTGCCGTAAATGCTCCCGTGTTCCACATTATAATTCTTGGAGCTTCGCAACCTGTGAGGTTAGGGTTTTGCATAGGACGACAAAAGCCCAGACTGCCCAGGGGTTTTAAGGAAGTTCGAGTAGAGAGAGAGAGAAGAGAGGAAGGCAGAGCCATGAGCAGGAGCTTGGGAATACCGGTGAAGCTTCTACACGAAGCAGCTGGACACGTGGTGACCGTGGAACTGAAGAGTGGAGAGCTCTACAGAGGTAGCATGGTCGAATGCGAAGACAACTGGAATTGCCAACTCGAGAACATCACTTTCACTGCTAAGGTACTCTCTCTCTCTCCCCCCTTTTATTCCTAATTACACTACTAACCCTTCAAGATTTCCATTCTTTGTGGTTTTCTAAAACCCTAGATTTGGTTTGGTTTGGTTTGGTTTCCAATAAATCAGAGTAAAACGGAACAAAATCTTGATCTTTTTGTTTTAGTTGTGTTGTGCTGACTAGAATAGAGGCATTTTAAGTAACTATCATGATTTGTGTTCATGCTCAATCGTATTTGTTATTCATTAATTAGTCTTGAATGGATATTAATGCTGTGTTTGGTTGAGAGATTTGGGATTGGATTTGGAAAGAGAAAGGAAAAGGAAGGAGGTAAGTGAAATATAAATAAAATATACCTACATTTCACCGAGTGTCATGGGCCTTTTCCGTTTTCCCTTTCCCCTTTCTCCTTTCCCTTTTCAAATCTCTTTCAAAATCACCCAACCAAACACGGCATAAGAGTTTGTCCATTGAGATCTCATACATCATGGTCCGTTTGGTTGTTGAATAAAGGCTAGGCTGCTGATTGTTTTAATAAAAACAGAATTAATTATTTCTGACCCAAGGAAACAGGGAATTCTAGTCAACGAACAGGACTTCAAAATTACTTGGCAATCAAAAGTTTTGCATCTTGTTGTGTTGTGGTGTCTTACGTCCAGTTATAACTTGGGGTTACTACTGAGTGTTTGCTAGGGTTTTTACTCCATCTTCTATCCCCACTTCTTACCCAAAATGCACACATAAAGAAAAATATGATAAATAAATTTTTGCATCATGTCATATGTTGTAGGAAAAAACTCACTTTACTCCCTTGTGGTTAAAGGCATCTCCAATGGAACCGTTAGGCATAGAAGTAGAGTCATAAGTTAAGAGATAGTCATCAATTTGAGTTGTTTGTTGCTTTGGTGCACATTTTATGTCCTTTGTTAAAGTTGGCATCCATCAAAGGAGTCCTAACTGTAGCAACTAAAATAACGCGCGCAAGAGAGAGAGAGAGAGAGAGAGGCAGGCTGCTGAAATTTGTTACACATTTATACACACTGAGGTGGATCCTACTCTTACTTAACACACAATCTAGCATCTCCATTGCGATACTCATTCACTCACTATATCAACAAACTCTTAACATACAAAATTGGGTCCACTTTTATCACTTTTTGTTAGTTCACACACTAACGTACAAATTTAGCATCCGCACCAGAGATGCTCTAAGGTCTGAAGCATTTTGCCTTCTTACAGTTTGGATATAGGCAGAGAGCCCCTACATTGTTTTGGATTAAATTACAACATCAACATCATTAGAGTTAAATGATAAAAATACATTTATACCTTCTTTGTTTTTTTCCACTAATTATTCTTTGCTAAATGAAGCAGATTTAATACTGATTGTCTGATGCTGAACCTGTTTTCTTCATAGTGCATGCCTCCCTCTCTGAGTTGTTACTCCATTCTTCATCACCACTTGAAAATGAAAAAATTTTTTTTTTGTTAAACTGTTGGTCTTTCCATTGCTACTACATCAATTGCGCATATTCAAACACAAAGCAACAAAAATTATATATTTGAAACCTAAAACACTATACTTTGAATTTAAAATGTTTTAGTGTTGTACTAACAGTTGTTGATGCATGATAAGCTACAGCAAGTCGGTGAAGAAGTTGCATAGAAGATCCCATTTTTGTTTCTTTAATATAAAGCCCTATGAATCCCAATTTCAGAACCCTATTGGATCATATAGAAACATAACACAAAAGGTTAAACCTTGGTGAACTACGTCGTCCGCAAGTCCTCGGCTTTGCTCATGAAAGTGCCACCAACATCACAAATATTGGCAATCTTTTATCGACAATGTAGAAAAGCAAACAATGAGGGTCATTCAGATTTTGGCATTTTCCAATCAAACTTTGCTTTTTTTAGAGTTCCCATCTATAATTGTTTCACAACTTCATATAAATATATCACTGATTCACAGAAAAAGGATATTGAAAACTTTGATTCTTGCCTCAACTATAAATTGAACTTCCTGTGCTTGGGTCATCAAATGGGTGGGAGGAAGAAGATGAAGCCAAGGGCGATAGTGTCTTTTTGCATAGAAATTTGACTTTTGACTTGGCTTCCAAAAGCATGCATGTAGCCACGAGTCCCGTGGACGGAAAATGTAATGGTTGCACTTTAACCCAAAATCACAAGGGAGGTCTCAACCTATATCTAAATCACAAGGGGTAAAGTGCTCTAGCAGAGTAAACTGAATTTTTCCCTATGTTATATTCTTGGTGGCTTGTTTCTTATATTTCTTGCCCGTCTCTCATTATTGTGGTGCAATGGCTATTTCATCCTTATTGGTAGTAGTCATATTGTGAGAAAATTTTATTTCTCAATGGTTTTGAATTGTGATGGATGAGTGAGAATAAGATAGGATAGGAGGCCAAAGTATCTTTCTTGTATGATCTCCATTTCAAAAAGTAAGAATATGCCTAAGGATTTGTTAGTTTTTGTTCACCTTACCATTTCATTTGATTGGTTACACAAAACCTTTACTATTTTTTGTGACATGAAAAAGGCCATTTATAACAAAGTGTAGAAATGGGAAACTAGCAGATAAAGAGGCATTCAGTTCCCAAGAGTTTTGGTGCTTGAAGTGGGTAATCCATAGGTAGACACCTGATCAAACAAGAAGCACTTTACGTTCTTACGCTATCACTCCATGGCATATGCTACATGATTCCATAGGGATTGAGTCTTGCATTGTACAGAAGGGAAGCAACATGGCGTCAATAATGATCACGTGCATCAGAAAACTATGAGAGACACAGAATTTATTTGTTAGTGTCTGGCTGATACTTATATGTCATGTATATAGTGGCTAGATACTGCATTATAATTTGTGGATATTGTTCACTCCTAGTTGTGACTTTGATGATAGGTTCATTGCTGAGCTGTAGTGCTGAAGCTGTAAGTGCTCACTAAAGTTTTCTTAGTTAGCAAAAGCAGGTGCCAAGAAATATGGAGAGCAAGCGACATATTAAACCTGAAATAAAATAGAACAAGTAAAATAAATAATACACAATTTTTCATGTAATATGTTCGGATTTGGACTGTAACGAGCAAACATACACTTGCATATACCTTTTCCCCCAGGTCCTCTGCAGGGTCATTAATATTGACTTTTAGATAGCTGTACATGGTGATTTGAATCATATATGATTGTATTCCATTTTTAATTTGGTTTTTGGTCTTTCTGATAATTGATTACATATGTGCACCCTTTTTTGGTATCCATGTCTGTTGATTATTCCCTTTCCTTATACACTTTCACATCAGTTGCTAATACTGGTTGATTCCTTCATACTTCACAGGATGGGAAGGTTTCACAACTCGAGCATGTCTTTATTCGAGGCAGCAAAGTCAGGTATTGTCTTGCAGCTTAATTGAGATAGTTTGTTTGCTAGTAACCACATTCATTTGTAATAGTTTGTTTTCTTATAACCACATTTATTTGGAACAAATGTGATTTCCAACTAGGTTTATGGTGATTCCAGACATGCTTAAGAATGCTCCAATGTTTAAGCGTTTGGAGTCTAGAATCAAGGTACTTATTCATATGTCTTTATCTTTCCTATGTTGGTTACCTTCTTTAGTTTTCTAATTTCTTTCACTTAACTTAATGAAGGGTAAGGGCTCAGCAATTGGAGTTGGCCGGGGTCGTGCTGTTGCAATGCGGGCTAGAGTAAGTTTATCTATATATATATTGTTTCCATTAACATCATAAAATGTGTCTTTGACGAAAGTGTAATGATTTGGCATCTGTAATTATTTTGTACAAAATCAAGTTTCAGAACATTTGGGGTGTGTTTGGTTTGTGTTTTGAAACATGTTTTTGGAAGAAAATTTTCAAAAACATATTTGGTTGCAAATTTTTTCAAAAAAATTCTGAAAGAACTTTTCTCTATTACACATCAATCAATCATTTTTTCCCTCTCCTCTTTTCTTCTCAATCACTTCTTCTCTCACACACATCTACTCAATTACAACAAAATATCAAATCATCCCAAACTCTCAAACTCTAAAACTATTTTCAAAATATACAACCAAACAAACCAAAAAATAAAATAAAATTCTAAACTCTCTAAAATATTTTTTGAAAATTTATTTCAAAACACAAACCAAACACACCCTTGGTTTTCATGTTATAAAAAATAAAAACTTTGTTTGAGACTCTGTTGGATCACAAGATGTTTGATCTATAGCATGCGTAACAGGTTGTGACCTCTCTATTAACGAGTGGCCTGACTATTGAACTTGTTTACTGTGCAGGCTCAGGCTGCTGGTCGTGGAGCTCCACCTGGTAGGGGTGCTGTACCCTCTATAAGGAGGTAATCGAATCCTTGGGTCTTATTGCCTCCTCTTGGAAGTTAATGCATGCGTTGTAACCGTTACTTGAGTGATGTCTTCGTCTACAACCCTTGTTTTTGTAAACCTGAAAAATGGTGTAAGAGTATATAACTTATCATTTTTAGAGCTTTATGTTGCACAAGTATTTTACTGCCAGCTAAACGCATCTGGAATGATTATTATTGCTTGATTTTCAATGTTTTTGTTTCCTTAAATCAATATCTAATGTTACCATTCATCGGACGCTCTATCAACTGGTAATAAGAGACTTTATTGCAACAAAGATTATATGGAATGTAGCTATAGGCATGCACCACATGTGCTTGGTAGAAATGGAGTTAGAAGAGCAGGTTGAAAATCAGTGGACCAGGTTGTTGCAGATTGATTATAGTTAGATTCAAATGGGGCATCAAAAGTATAACCCGGTCTTTTGGCTAGATTCAAACTGGCATCAAAAGCAATGGTTGGGTGCTGTCCAAACAGAATGCAATGCTATCTCAATTACTTTGCTGATCCTTTTGGTACTTGGGATTGTCCAAGCTATGGTTTTAATTGGATGCCTTGGACCTAGGTAATAGCTTTGTTTGCTCTTAGTTTTGGTTGAATGGCCTAATTTTGGCTTTTGGCGAAGTAGTGTTCAACTTTTTAGAGCATTGAACAAATTATGATTGGGTAAATGGTAAATAGGCTCAACTGTTTTGGTTTCCTCACTATGAAAGTTGGTTGTGGACTAATTCTGTAGAACAGTATTGTTGTTACTTGAAATTTTATAAATTCTAGTGAGTTGACTGTTGTTAGAGCTTACTCCCATGAATCTATATTTATTTGTACACAATTGAAGACATTCCAGATTTGGAAGGTCATTGCTGTTTTGATTGTAATATGTTCAGTGCTAGGTTAAATGCTATCTTGCTGATTGGAAAATTGTCTCTGTTTGGATCAAAGATTTGAGGAATGACATGCAAAAGGAAAGAAAATAGGACGGATATCACTTCTCAAATCCTTAATCCAATCATAGTCCTAAAAGTGTTCTAAGTTGTGCCATAATGTGAAGAATGGACCTCTTAGCGGCATGATAAAAGCCATGACAGAGGAACCTTTGCCCTACTAGCTTGCATATTACTCGCTGTGAATATGATGAAGATGCCGTTGCAAGGAATGAGTAGTGAGAACCAGATTGGTAGATTCATCAAGGAGATAATCAACAGCTATGTGGATTGAAATCGAAGAGTGAAGGTTTTTATTCAAAGTTAACTAAAAACAAAAAACAAAAAAAAAACAAAAAAAACAAAAAATGCAGAAGTTTCGTGGGGGAGTTTTAGAGTTACGTATTGAACAAAAGCTTATCATCATTCAGATTGATAGAGAATCCAGAGGTAGTTTAGTGGAGATCATTGAAAGGAATCGACTTAGAAGTTATTCTATTAAGATCGATTTGGGGGGAGTTTTTGGGCAATGCAGGGTTTGCGACAGGTTTGGAGATGGCGCAAGGATCGACCATTTTCCAGCAAGTATAGCAGCAGTTCAGTAGTATTCTGTCTTCAGAAATACAGCAACAAGGGTGGTGTCTTTGTGGAGTTGTCTAAATGGGTGACCGAGTTACGAAGAAGTAACATTATTCTTCCAGGAAGGGTTGATGGTCAAGGGTGGATGGCAGTGGCCAACATGTTTGAAAGAATTATTCATGGAGATTCTAGGGTTAAGGACGATGGGGAAAGGAAGTATCCAAGTGACCTTGATTTATCAAAGACTCGCACAGGCATCCCAAGAGTGAACAACTCTGTTCAGCAGAAAACAGGGGCAAATAGAGGAGTTTCGTATGCATTTGTGCTCAGCTCTAAAATAGATCCCTTGGGAGGCAGTAGCTCTATTATGGAGATGTGTAAGGTGGTGGTCTGCACTAGAACTGATTTCTTGGATGCATGGGCACAGATTGAGGAGGAGCTATGTTGATCTTTTAAATCTAATATTTCTCTTAGGCCTTTTCAATTAAACAGAGCTCTGTTTGTTGCAAAAAGCATTGAGGAGGAGGCTTACTATGGTGGCTAGGGACTGTTTCTTTTATAGGAGCATTGCGGTGAGTTTGGAGAGCTGGTTAGATGAAAAGCACAGTAGGGCCAATGCCATTGCTTCAAATGGGGGATGGGTCTCTATTTGTGATTTACCTTTTAGTTTTTGGACTAACATGGTTTTTGAATGGATTGGAACGAAGTGTGGAGGTCTGTTAGAGGTGGATAGTAGAACCAGGTCTTTCAGAAATCTCTTTGAGGCAAGATTGAAAGTCAAAGGTATTGGTAATGGGTTCTTATCGACGACTATTGACGTTCAAGTGGAAGGAGTTTCTGCCGCTGTACGATTAAAGGCATTAACAAAGCCCAGTGGAAGACGGGAGGTTCACAGGCAATGGAGTTTTCAACCAGTTTCAGACGATTCTAGTACCGGAGAAAGGAGAAGTAAGGGGTCTTAAGCGACAGCCATGAGACGTGGCAGAATGGAGGTGAGAAGTCAGGCTGGTGGACTGCACGAAATGGATGACGGCAATGGAAGAAGCGTAAGAGACGAAAGGGGCAATCAGTTAGAGTGTTTGATTAACTTTGGGCCTGGTCAAACAGTGGGCTCAGCCCACGATTTGGTTATTTCAAATAAACATTTTAATTTTGGAGTACAAGATGAGGTTGGCCCAAATGATTTTCAAAGTTTTAAGGAATGTGACCCAGTTATTAATGAGGGCCCCAATACATTTCCTTGTTTTAAAAAAAGAGGCCTAGGGATTGTGGACAGATTAAGGGCTTTTGGTTCCAACCCGAAGGAGGTTTCGGAGATGGGTTTAGGTCGGAAGGATAGCCCAATTATTTTGGCCTCACGGGTTAAAGCTTTTGAGTCAGTTGGTGTCGATGGGCTTCGAGGATTTTCAGTGACTGAGGATAGGAGTAGACCCTTCGCTTTTAAAGCATCAGAACTAGTCGATTGCGATCGTCTTAGGCAGCCGATCATTCGCGAAGACCTTAGCATAGAGAAAGCACAACTAGGGCTGAACAATATTGTAGATAGATCATGTAGGGATTTTCAGAGTTTCAATGCGGTGGCTGAGGACTTGCTAGAGATTATTTTGGCTTCGGAAAAAATGGTTCAGGACTTGGAAGAGGGTCGTTTTGACACGCATGAGGTATTGCAAGCTTTGGAAGAGTATGGTTCATTTGAGAGTTCAGATTCTCAAACTGAAGGGGACAGTATGGAGGATGAGCAAGTTGATCAGGATTAGGTTCTCAATAATCTTTCAATGCTGATTGTACTACTGATGGTGAGGATATCGAGTAGGTTTCTAACTCTCTGAATTAGGCCAGTCCTTCATTTACCAAAGTTTTAACATTTTCATCTTCGTTCAAGGGGGTACAAGCCATTCTGGTTTCTTCTATTTCTTTTTCTGGGGAAAGGGCTAGGGTTGGGGATTCTTCAATTCATTCTTTTGGGCTGATTTGTCCTGTTCTTCAGATCTCATCAAGGGATATTCATGAACAAGGGGTTAACATAGATACCTTAAGGGCCATTGTGAATGAGTCTACTATTGTGTCTGAGTCTTTACAAGCTAATTGTATTCAAGGTCACATGTATGACAATCAGGGAGGGATCTCAGGTAATCATGTTGACAAGGAGGGCCACGTTTTTAGTAACGGGGTTGAAGAAACGGAGAGTTGGTTGAAGGAATTAAGTATGAGACTTGCCCAATTGAGGAGGAGGAGGTGCCTTGTTTTATGTAGTTACTTCAAGTTATGGGCATGTCTTTAGTTAAAATCAAGGGGACGTCCGGATCAGTTAGTAAGAATATTAGGTTTACAAGGGAGAAAGATGGTAGAAAGGTAGGAGATAGCACTCAAAAAGGGGTAAGGGAACTCGGGAATTTAGCAAGTTTGGTTAATTATGAGAGACGCCGGGAGGTAACTACGGGTGAAAATGTTTCCCAATGAAGTTTATTAGTTGGAATGTGAGGGGGTTGGGTTCTCGGAGAAAGAGGGGTGTTATTAAGGATTTTCTAAGGAGTAATTAACCGGACATAGTGGTTTTTTAAGAATCTAAAGCAGAAAGGTGTGATAGGAGGTTCATGAAGAGTCTTTGGGGTGTTAGGGATTGGAGTTGGGTTTGTTTGCCTTCAATGGGTAGATCAGGGGGCATTTTGGTGATGTGGGATGAGAGAGTTGTTTCTCAATGTGAAACTATAGTGGGGGAGTTTTCACTATCAATTAGGTTTCGAAATCTTGACAATATAGAGTGGTGGTTGACAGGGGTTTATGGTCCTAATAGAATGTCTAGGAGAAAGGATTTGTGGGATGAGCTATATGGGTTATCTGGGTTGTGTTCCCCTAATTGGTGTTTAGGGGGAGATTTTAATGCGGTTAGGAAAAGCTCAGAAAAACTCAATGGAATTCGAACCACTAGGGGCATGAGGGACTTTGATTTGTTTATCAAAGATTGTGAGTTGGTGGACCTTCCTTAGTGCAATACTAAATTTACATGGTCTAATTTGCAAGAGAATTTGGTGTGTTGTAGATTGGATATATTTTTGTTCTCCATGGGGTGGGAAGGTTTTTTCCCCAATTTAAGGCAGGAATCATTACTGAGATTAACGTCAGATTATTGTCCTATTATGATTGAAAGTTGTCCAGTAAAGTGGGGCCCAACGCCTTTTAGATTTGAAAACATGTGATTGGAGCATCCATCTTTTAAAATGAAGTTTGAGGAATGGTGGGCCAACGCTAGTTGTTATGGGTGGGAGTGTTTTAAGTTTATGAAAAAGTTGAAGAAGGTCAAGGAGAATGTGAAGTGTTGGAATAGGGAGGTTTTTGGAAATTTGTTGTTTTCAAAGATGGAGGTGTCGAGCAAAATCAAAGAGTTAGATGTATTGGAGGTGTAGGGGGGTTTGGATGAGTCCTTTAGGAGGGAGCGATTTGAGATTGAAATTGGAAGAGTTAGTGTTTAGGGAGCAAATTTATTGGGCTCAAAAAGCAAAAGGTTAAATGGTTAAAGGAAGGGGATGTGAATTGAAATTTTTTTCATAGGATGGCAGATGGGAAAAGAAAGAAGTTTATCAAGAGATTAGAAGTAAGCCCTGGGGTAGTGGTGGAACGGGAGAATCAGATTGTCAATGGAATTTATGACTTTTATTCCAAGCTTTATTCGAAGGAAGAGATGACTAGACCGGGGATTGAAGGTCTTGAATGGGGACCTATTGATCAAACAGTTGCAGCATGGCTTGGAAGACCATTTGATGAAAAGGAAATTCGGGAGGCAGTTTTTTATTGTGAGAGAGACAAAGCTCCAAGTTTGGACGGTTTTTCCATGGCTGTCTTTTAGGAGTGTTGGGGGGTGGTGAAACAGGATTTGTTAGGAGTTTTTTTCGGAATTTCATGAGTCAGGGGTTTTTAATTTGAACTCAAATGTCACATTCATTTGTTTAATTCCCAAGAAAGCGAATACGGTAAGAATTGGAGATTTCCGGCCCATTAGTTTGGTCACATCATTTTATAAGATTTTGGGGAAAGTTTTATCAAAGTGAATAAGAATTTCATTGGGGGAGACTGTGTCGATGGCGTAAGGGCTTTTGTGAAAGGAAGACAAATCTTAGATGTAGTTCTAGTGGCGAATGAAGTAGTGGATGAATATAGAAGTTTAGGAAAGGAAGGAATTCTTTTTAAGGTGGATTTCGATAAGGCATATGGTCACGTGGATTGGCAATTTTTGGATTTTGTATTGGACAAGAAAGGTTATGGTGGGCGGTGGAGATCTTGGATTAGGGGATGTTTGTCGATGTGCAATATGTCTGAACAGGGGAAATAGAGTTAGTGCCATACATTTACAGTATGCGGATGATACCATATTTTTTTCAACAAGGGATGAAAGTGAGATAGTTAACCTTTATTCGATTTTGAGACTTTTCGGGGTAATCTCGGGGCTTAAGGTTAATTTGGAGAAAAGTAGGGTGGTGAGCATTAATATGCAGCAAGATCTGCTTTGGAATAGGACGGCTTTTTTAGGATGTGGTATAGAGGCACTTCTGTTTAAGTACTTAGGTCTTCCATTGGGGGGTAATCCTAGAAGTGAAGCTTTTTGGAATCCAGTTGTGGAGAAGATTGGTAAGAGGTTGAAAGGGTGAAGTAAGGCTTTATTGTTACGCGGGGGTAGATACACTTTGGTTAAGTCGGTTCTAAGTGGTATTCCTATTTATTTTTTATCTTTGTTTAAGATACCGGTTAAGGTGGCAAAGGCATTAGAAAAGTTGATAAGAGATTTTTTTTGGGAGGGCAAAGATGAGGGGAAGAGGGATCACTTGGTGAGTTAGGATTTAGTTTCCTTGTTTGAGGAAAAAGGGGGTTTGGCTATTGGTAACATTTTAGTTAGGAACATGACTCTTCTTGGTAAATGGTTATGGAGATTTCCACTTGAGAGTGATTCACTATGGCATTTGGTTATTAGAAATAAGTATGGGACTCAAGACAATGGTATGGACTCACAGGTGGTTCTACGGGGTAACTGTTGTGCTCCTTGGAAATCAATTTCGCATATCTACACCTGTTGGTCTCGTCATTTTTCTATAAAGATGGGCAATGGGGCACTTGTTCGTTTTTGAAAGGATGTTTGAATGGGTCAATCTTCTTTTGCTTTTGATTTTTCACATCTCTATAAAGTGGCTCGATCTCATAACTCTTCTATTGCTTTCATGCCTTGTTCACTTTTGGCTCCAATTTCTTGGAATTTTGGTTTACGTTTGGTAGAGCTTTGTAACTATGATTTGAGAGTATGAGTTGTATTTTGAGTTTGTAAGATTTAGAATTATGATTTGAGTGTGGAAAATTTGTTGGGTCAAGAGTTTTGAAAATAGTTGAAAAGAGTTTTGAATTCAGTGGGGAATTGTTGATGTGACATTTGATATTTAATACAAAAAATTACAACTCATAACCAAATATACAACTCAAAATTATTTTAAAACACATAAATTTTTTTTTAAAATTTAGAAAATGTTTTTTTTTTTGGAATATATAAAAATTACCATATCAATTGCAAAAAATAAAAAAATTCACTATTCCGGTCAACTGGTGGGACGACCGGTTAGGCAAAATTTGCAAAAAAAAAAAATTTGAAAATCGCGCCTGTCTCAGAGTTCTTTGCAGAGTTTTGGAAACGTGTTTTCAAAACTCGTTCCAAACATCATTTGCAAATGTAGGTGTAGAATCACGTTTTAAAAATACAACCAAATAGAGCCTTGATTTTTCTAGAAATCTTAATGATAGGGAGGCTGCACAGTTGGCGTCTTTGTTGTCCAAAATTGACAATTTCTCGTTGGCTTCTCTTCTGGAGGACAAGAGGGTTTGGGCTTTCCATTCATCTAGAATATTTTCTTGTAAGTCCTTTTCTGATAAACTTATTGATAGTTCTCATGTTTCTCAATTTCCTTTTTGCAAAAGAATTTGGAAGGCTTGTGTTCCTTTAAAGGTGAAAGTGTTTATGTGAGCTTTGATTCATGAAGGCATTTTGACAAATGATACATTGCAGAAACCGAGACCTAATCAATTTTTAAATCCTCAGTGGTGCATTATGTGTTGTAAGAATGAGAAATCCGTGGATTATTTATTTTTGCATTGCCCAATTGTTTTGACTTTATGGCACAAATTGTTTTCGTTGGGGGATGTTATGTGGGTAGCCCCGCAAAGGAGTGCATATATGCTCCAAGTTGACTTTCGTGCTTTTGGAGGATCGAAGAGAGTCAAAATGTTATGGTCTAGTATGATCTTTGCAACTTTTTGGGTTCTAGGCTCGAAAGAAATGCGAGGGTGTTTGAAGATAAGTCTCGAGAGATAGACTGTTTATAGGATTGTGTGTGCCATTTAACTTCTTTTTGGGTTTCGGAAAATCCTCTTTTTAAGGGGGTCCCACTTTTTTTATTAGTTAGAGATTGACTGGTTGTGTGTGATATGTAAAATTTTGCTTTAAGAGTTTCTTGTTAGGTTTTAGTTTTTATGATTTTTCATTTTCCTTTGTAAAAGGATTCCTTACCCTCACTTACTTTTTTTGATTTGTCTATAAAATGCTTCGTTGTTGATTTAAAAAAATAAAAGCCATGACAGAGAGTTGAGGGATAGGCTTCAAAGCCAAGCATATAAATATGCCGTCTAACAGCATCTCTAATGTCCTTGCATTAAATGTTTATCAAATGAAGAAAAAATATTTTTATATCAAATTTGTGTCGGGTGAAAATTTAAAAAGATAAAATATTGGAGATAATTTTATTTATTTATTTATCAAATTTGATAAATAAAAAAATTTGAGGCCTCGTTTGGGAACAGACTAATTTAGTAACTTTTTGGCTATTTGGCTAAAATATGAGCTAAAAAAATTAGTATGTTTAGGATGACTTTTGGACTTTTTACGAAAAGATGTGCAAAAAGTAGAAAGAAAAGAGAATCTTTGACTTTTTGGTATGAGTTGTTGGCTTTTTGGCTAATTTAGTAACTTTTGACTTTTTTGTTAAAACGGAGGGTTCCCAAACAAGGCCTGAGGTAATAGGAAACTTTTTGAAAAGATTTTAATAAAAATTTAATGAAATGATTGGAATAGTTCATATCAAATCAAGTTTTTTATTCAAATTTTGAATCAAATTAGATATAAAAAAAGAAAAAAGAAAAGTGAAGGGTTGAAAATGCTCTAATATCCCACAACATAATATAAATGCAAAAAAACAAAAACAAAATTGTAAGCTTCATATTAAGGATGGCTGTAAAATCCATAAACGATAAAATCCACAGCCCTTAGCTCACCGTGTGAGAGGGGACTTTCAAAGTAATCAAAATTTAGTGGAAGTAACCATAGAGCTCCAAGAAGCAAATGCAAAAGTTCCATGGATTAGAATCATCGGTTGTGGGAGCAGTCAATATAACCCCAAAGAATCTAAAGGGAAGCAGAGCATTGGGGCCTATTATTGGCCACGAAGCAAACTGACCCGGTTTGCACATTGTCCAGTCGTTCTCGTGCACTCTCAAGTTAGTCCAAGTCTTCCCATCCAAAGAACCCTAGAATTATTGTCAATAAAATTTCACGATAAACTGATCATTTTTTACTTCATTCGAACAAAGAAAGAAAAAAAGAAAAAAAGGGAGGCCACAAACAAAATACAAATTCAATACCTGGTGGTCTTGGCCAGTGTCAATAATCCACTGCGTGCAATTCTTTCCATCTTCAATCCTAGGCCCGGCAAAGGTTGTTCCCTGATGCACAGTAAATCAGTTCAATGACCGTCCTAAAGAGCTCAGAAATTATAGGAACTTTAACAAGAATTTGATTTATCATAGGGTCATACCTGGTAAGTCCTTGAGACCAAAACCTTAGGGTCGGTATGTCTTGAAATGGGACTGCTAGCACAAACACAAATTCTCTGAAACATGCAATTTAGAGGATAAGATATCAATAATTTCGCAAAACCATTGGCAAATCAAGAGAACAACAGTATTTCGAGAAGTCACCTTTGCGAGTACAGGATTTACCCATTGATGTTCCCCAAATGATGTGCCAATGAAGTACAGAACTCCATTGCTGTCACCATCACATATGTATTGCCGCTCCTTAAAACTAGATCGCCTGTGTTGGAATCTTGCACTATAAAGCGAAACTACATCAGCCATAAATCATTCATTTGTAAGGATTTCAAGTAAAGAAACTAATTTTGACATGCTCTCCTACTGCAAGCAAGCAAGCAAGCAAAAGTACATGACTTGAACTCCAGAACTTGGACTCAACTTTTAAAGAAGCTTTGTGTCGTAATTGTGCATGACATCACATTATTTGAAAACCATCTCTACATATTGATGTAGTTGGCAAAAATCAGTTTCTTTGAACGGTAACCAAATAGAAGATGAATTATTGATCACTTAAAACAAAGATTTCATAACTCTCCGAAAGATTAGTTTCTGAAAATCAGTTGAAGCAAGCAAAAGTACATGACTTGAACTCCGGAACTTGGACTCAACTTTTAAAGAAGCTTTGTGTCGTAATTGTGCATGGCATCACATTATTTGAAAACCATCTCTACATATTGAAGTAGTTGGCAAAATTCAGTTTCTTTGAAGGGCAACCAAATAGAGATGAATTGTTGATCACTTATAATTATAACAAAGATTTCATAACTCTCCGAAAGATTAGTTTCTGAAAATCAGTTGATCTTAACTGAATGGAATCAAAGGACTTACAAGCATCTCTTACATGCCTAAGCCCTGAGACTTCCCATTTCCAACCAAACACCCGAGTCAAGAATCCAAGCCGTCTCTTAGTAGTGGAAGTCATACTGCATGATTTATAACCAGAAATAATACCGTGCAATCTATTACTCCAAGTACTTCTGATGCTATACCACGCCACTCAAATGCCTAAGCTAAGGCAACATTTGGGCACATTGAAGTGATGAGGACAAAAAAGGCATTGGATGAAGAAGGATTTAATGGTCTTTGGAAAGATTAGATTTTAGGAATTATTACCATATTAGAATATTATTTAGGAATTTATTAACGATTTAATTATTGTCTTATTTTATTTTGGAAATTTTTAGTTAGGATTTTCTTAGATGTGCCTATAAATAGGGCATTATGTAGTGGGGTTATTCAGCTTTGACTATTGAATTGAGATATTGAGTATTGAGATCTAGGTTCAATTTTCTTTTCTTTTGGTGTAGTTTGTTATTTTCATTTACAATATTTTTACTTTCTGGTCGTCCCGCATCACGAAGTTTTCCGCAAGCACCCTCTGTGCGTCTTGTGGCTTGGAAGCTAGATGAAGAAGTTTCGCCCTGTCACTATGCCCCCATAGGCATAGCCAATCCTAATTATAGAGAGATATCATGCCACTAAACCTATCTATGAAATCTCAGTAAACAAGACAAATCCCCTAACAACTTGATTGCTTTCTGACAAATCTTAATAGAATCTCGAGAAAACAGGACAATTAGTTATGGCCATGTGACTAACCTTCCATAAATAGAAGGAAGTACTCCTTTACATCACTAGTTTCTTCTACATCACACTCTTGAAGAGAGGTTGGTCATAAACTATGTACTTTGAGCTCCCCTACTCCACTGCCTCCCTCTTTCTCAGATAGATGGATCTATCTCTT